AAAAAAAAAAAACTATGCTATCTGGTCAAATCAAATTTCAAGATCAGATGTAATTAAAATTAAAATAAATATACATTCAAATCCTAACACTAACGCTGGTAGCGAATTTTTTTAAGTTGGTAACGCTGTGACAATTCAAGAAGTAAGGTTAAGCGCTATGAATAAAATTTTCATTAGATGCTCTGTTACAAATCTGCCTGTTACACATACGGTTTTATTGAAATTTGTGATTATAAAATAAAATCAATACGGTTTATTATTATCTTTGATAACTAATGTCATTATTTATTTTTTAATCATTCAATTTAGGCACCTTATCTAAAAATGTATAGTGCTTATTTAAAGGGTTTTCCGCAAGCGATAGCAACTATGGAGCGTCTCAATAAAGATAGCAAAGATTTTAAAAAATTTATTCAGGTATTCATTAAATGTTCATTAAAATCATTATATAAAGACCTAAGCATTCAGTTAATATTAACGGTTCATATACATCTATGTATGTTACCAGAATTGCCAGGCAAAACCAGAACTGGGAAACTTACCTTTCAATTCTTTTTTGAGCTTGCCAATTCAACGAATACCTCGTTACAAGCTATTACTAGAAGCTCTATTAAAACACACCGAGAAAACACACCCTGACTATATAAACCTTGAACAATGCGTACACCAAATTAGTTTGATTGCCGAGGAAGTTAATGAAAAGTATGTTAAGAATCGTTTGTCAGTTTTTTTTTTTCAAAGTTTTAAAATTGATGGTTATTTTTGTTTATAGAATACGAGATGCTGAGAATCAACAAAAAGTATTAGAAATCCAAAACAAAGTAGAAAGACTACCGGGCAATATAATAAATCCTGCTCGAAGATTCATATACCAAGGAGATTTATATAAAGTTACTCAACGAATGTCATCAATTAAACCCTACTACTTAGCAACAGAGGATAGACGTGCACATTTTCTATTTAATGATCTACTTCTCCTTTGTATAGAATTCCAAGGAAAGTTATTGTACACTGGGCAAATTGATTTGAATAATGCATATCGGATTGATATTGCAGATGATGAAGCAGATCAACCCTTTT